CAGTCAGTCAGGGCAGCTCCTGTCAGATGCCAAACTGGCAGGAGTGAGCTTCTGCCTGTGGCAGTGTCACTTACTGCCCATTTGGGCATCTAGTTAACAAAAAAATTAAGACGTTTTGGATTACCTTGCTTGTAATTGGCAAACTTTTTTTTAATCTGAAAACCCACAGAGCAAGGTTTGACATTTGAATAAATCAGGAAGTGAGTCTTAGTCTGAGGCAGAATGCTGTCTCCTGATGGTGATGTCCTACTTCCATGTTATGAAAATAAAATACACAAAAGGAAGATTAAGGATTTGGATCAGGAAGGGGAGAAGATGAACCAACCAAACCTCCCTTTTAGAAACTGTATCCTTACCCTTTTAACATAAGTATATATAAGCTTATTTTGCATTAAAAAATATCAAAGCTATGCAGTTGCTGTCTTTCTGCTGTAGCTCCTCCCCTTGTTCAGTTTTCTCCATTTCTTCATTGTATATATGTGCCTTGTTAATGTGGCTAATAGCTTTAAATTCAAAATTTGTGATAATTCCCTAGTGTGGACAGAAAATGGAAAAACTTGATTACCTGTCTTTTCCTACTAATAATGAATTAAAATATTAGAAGAAAAAGCTACTGTAGCTAGAATCAAAATGCATGTCAAATACATAGTACACAGCAGTTTCTGTAAATTAGGTATCAGTGAATAAATGTATGATACACTTGAGTTGAAGCCAACAGATTCCGTCAATGTTACAATACAATACTAGTTTTATGACAACTAATGTGAAAAATTTTCCACTTCTGTGTGCCTTTCCTTGGGATTGTGCAGACTTTTCTATGCGGTATATAGTTAAAATTGGAGTATTTCTTTCTCCCTTGTAATGGCAGAATACTTGTGATGGATTTCTAGAAATGTGCTACAGTATCACCCAAAATAATATGGGTTGTCTTGGTATCAAGAATAGCCTTTTGTATTTTTACTCTACGGTGCAATATGACCACTTCTGGTGTTGGAATTTTGCAAATATATTTGTTTTAGTCATGCCTTGGAAGGTATTTTTACAACATTCTGAAATGTGAACTACAGCTGTTGGTTTTATTAATAAGATTGGAAACTGTTAATTATTAAATAAAAAGATACATGAAATGAAACTGAAGCAGGATACCCTTGTTTAATTGGGGGAGAGGGGGAGCATGGGTTGGTTGGTTGCTTTGTTTAGTTACAACTCTCTTTGACAGCTTTTCATCTTTTAGGTGAAACAGCCTGATGGTAAAAGCACAGAATTCACAACAGATATTTTAGATTGCCTTCATTTATCTAAAAATCACGTCTCCAGCAAAGCATGACCAAATTTTGAAAAGGACTTTTTTTAGGATTTAGGTTTTTTGTTCAGTTTATTAGTAAAGTTATGGAAGTTTCAATTCCGTAAGTGGCAGGCCTCTTCCTTCTCCCTGTCCTTGATGTTGAACAGGTGCTTAGGGTGTGAAGACTTGCTTCTTGAAAAAGATATGACAGTCATATCAAATGCACTGAAGCTTTTGTTATTTTTCCTTTCTTCAAGGGTATATATTATTTAATTATTTTTTTTTTTCAGTTTAAATTTAGAAAGATTAAAGACAATTTTTAAAATCTGCATTCAGGAACTAAAACCTTTTTGAATAATTTAACCTATTTTTTAGTAGGCTGGATAAGATTTTTCTGGAAGAGCAAGTTGATTACGTAAGGAGTTACACAAGCAGTAAGGTTTAGTGAAAAGGTACACAAAAAATGCTAAATAAGAGGTTTTATTTGTTTCATCTTTTCCAAAATACTGCGGTCAAGATGAAAAGGAATATTGTCCTGTGAGCTTTTTACATTTTTTAGCTTGAGTTACAGGCCACACATTTAGGAAATTCCTGTGATGACATTGGAAGGGTAACTTGTACTTACAAGAAGTGCTAAGCTTCCTTTTACTCTCTTGAATGGCTGATGAATAAGAAACTGATAGCTTCAACTGTAAAGAGGTTCAAATATTGTTAGCCGTGTTTTAGTTAACTTACATTGTTAGATTAAAAACTTTGGTGGTTTTTGGTTTGGAAGGTGGGGAACAATGTGTATTTTATAGTTAATATTGGAGTATTTGTTTATTTCTCCTTTGTAATGGCTGAATAATTGTGATGGATTTCTAGAAATGTGTTACAGTATAACCCAAAATAATACAGAATGTCTTGATATCAAGAATAGCCTTTTGTATTTTTACTCCACTGTTCACTATGACCACTTTTGTTTTGGAATTTTGCAAATGTATTTGTTTTAATCATAATGTCTGCAAGGTATTTTTACAAAAGATTTGATTTCTACTACTTTTTTTTTTCCAGTTAAAATTGCTCAATATTTACTGTTTGTCTTTCATGCAACATGTCCTTTACTGTGTGCCATTCCTAGGAATTTTGTATATCTGTGACTACATTTAATTTCATAACCTTGAGTATGCAGTCAGTGTCTTTCAGACGATACTTGCTATCAAAATATGTTTAAATGTGGTCTATTACCTGCATAGTTTCTAAGTGTTAGAAGTTAAATGCAAGTAGTAGGGATGCTTTTTTATGATGCTGTGATTTTCTTTCATGTATTCTGGCTTACTGTAATACCTAATGCAGTTGTTAATTAACTTCTTTCATTTGCTTAATCATGTGTGTCAAATGGAAGCACACTGAAAAAAGTCTTTGAACTGGCATTAGTTATAAGCATTAATAGTTTGGTTTAATGAATTTAAATTAAATGTTTAGAAAGTTGAGTGGTAAATGGGAAAGAAAGATAATTTTATTGTTAGATTTATTTTTTTTTTCTAAAATGCTTGCATTTAATATTTTCTCTTACCTTTTTTAGGGCTGAGGGTAGCCCAGGATGGCCGCAGCTTCATATGATCAGTTGTTAAAGCAAGTTGAGGCATTAAAGATGGAGAACTCCAACCTTCGGCAAGAGCTAGAGGACAACTCAAATCACCTAACAAAACTGGAAACAGAGGCATCTAATATGAAGGTATTATTGCAAGCTTTGTGACCGTGTGCATTAGTGTTTCTGTTGCTGCCTTTTGTGTTATCGACTGGTATTGCTCAATACGTTTTGTGTGCTTTTAGATTCCTATAGAAGTCCCTTTCCAGGCTGTGTAAGGGAAAACTATCAAGTCAACTTAGTGAAGATCTGTTTTCATTTGAGAATTGAAGTATTTCAAAGCTGTACTTCAGAAACCAGTATTTTAGATATTCCAGTTTTCCTAGCTTCTTTTCTGCTGTACTTACCAGTATGAAGTGCATTCTGCTGACATAGTTCAACAAAGCGAGTGTTGTTCAACCCTTCAGAACACGGGAGAGACTGGAGGTTTTCTGTGTTTTAAGGTAACTTTAAAAATGCTGGGGTTTAGTACAGTTACAATATTTAACACTGGAAAAGAAATTTCATTTTTAAAATAAAGATCACAAGTTCTCCAGGCCTGTCCCAAAGCCTAATTTCATACTTAATAATTTCACCTGGTTCTGGCCATCTGATGTTCACTGACCAGGTGTAGGCCTTCAGAGCCAACACCTATCCAAGAGTAAACAGTAAGCTCAGCTGGAATTTAGGTGGTTTGTATCAGTGGGAAGATGCATACACATCTGCATCCATGTGATCCATGACACTACGCAAGGCAGAATTTCACAAGCATTATAGCTGCATTAATGCTCTTCCTAAGCTGATAAATCCTTCTGCTTTTTACTAACAGCTAGCAAAAACAGTCTGTTTTTGGTACCTCAGTTGATATCGCTCAAAATTGTTGGTATCTCTGCATATATATATTCCTGTTACGGGTAAGCATATTCTATATATTAAACAGCATTTGTGACCTGTTTATTCACTGTAAGAAGAAACATTTTCAAGTGTTCTGAACCACTGTCAGTAGTTACAACACTTGAAAGAACCACAGATTTTTCAACTGCATTTAATCCTTGCATTGTAGTGTAAAAGGAAAATGTCTCTGCTACCTAAATTGAAACAAAATTATAGTCTGTTTCCCTGGCTACTTTAAACATTGCTTCACATTAGCAGTTATGGGAAAAAAATTGTTCGTTGGCTCAGATACGTATCTGAAAGTTCTTTCATTTATACTGTTTTTCTTGAGATAATACTGTAACAAATTTGTCAGGATGTTCCCTTCGCTCCCTGTTATTGCAGCCTAAAGTAAGGGAGAGAAGAACATTTCCTTGTAGTTTGAAAGAGGAAGTATGAAAAAGCCTTTTTTCCCCTCTTTGTCCTCCTACAAGTCCTTTTTTTTTTCCTCAGCTTTCATGCAGATAATTAAATTCCCACTGACCTAGAGGCAGAGCATCTGTGTAAGCTGGTTTCTAGGGCATTAATTTGAGATGTGGAACAGCTTTCTGTCCTTACTTCAAACCTGGCAGACCACCACACAGAAAGTGGTTCTATCACATTCCACAGAGGAGTGCCTAAGAGCACATTCTGAGTAGGTGTCTCATTTTTTCTCTCCTGAAATGCCGTTTTAGATCTAAGGGACTTATCCTAAAAAAACTCCAACTTAAACATCAAACTAAAAATGTTTCTTTTTATTTTGCAGAATTGATGGGGAGGAGATTGTTCAGGTTAATTTGTTTGTCTATTTAAAAATCTGTACTCTGTGAGAAGTCCTAATCTTCTGTGTGCCTTAGGAGTGCTTGATACTGCACCTAAAACAAGAAGCTGTTTGTTTCACCTTGCTTTGGCTTGATTAGAACCTGAACGATGATCTAGGAATAATCTTGAAGTCTGATTAGAGTCTATGGGTGAAGTTTGATGGAGATCAATGCAGAATTCTCTTTAGTCAGAAGGTAATTTTAGTTTTGCAAGCTCTTAGAGAAAGTATGCAGTGGGTCTGTTCCACTGAAAGAAACTGCATGGTTTATAGGGTCATGGTGCCATAATTAGGGCTAATTACAATAAAAGTACTTAGAAGAACTAGAGCAGTAGAGATTAAAAGCCCTTTAGCTACCATATAAGCAGTTAAAACTCCAAATATTTTGTAAGAAAACAATCCTTTGGGAGCATGTAAGTCACAGAGCCCTGACAGCCCCTCCCACCAAGTAAAGTCCTGCATATTTGTGGGAGAAGGGAAGCTGCTGTGGGAAAGGCAAGCTGTGGTTCTGTGGTAGACATGGCTGTTCTTGCACCATGAATTTTGATCTGTGGGCTAGCGCAGAAACATCTCACAATCATTCTTTGGACTGTAAATCTTTTTGGTTGTGTCTCTTTTCTTATTTTGTTTTAGTTGGTTGTGAAAGACAGTATTTAGGAAGGCCATTTTAAGGACAATATAGTATCTTTAAATAAATTGATTTTGAAAGTAGACATGTTAAAATGCCTCATCTGTATAATCACTCTATTTCAGAAATGTAAGGTAATAATACTGGAATTAAAAGCTTAACATGAGCTCATCTTGCACATGTATTATAAACTACTACTGACCTATATATGAGTAATGTTTGAATGCATCATGTTTGAAGCTAAATTTCATATTTAAAAGGGAAAACTGTCCATTTGCTGACCAGAAAACAATATGATGGGTAAACAAAGAGAAATGTGATAACTGGGGTGCCAAAATTATTTTAGTAAAAGAGTGTCCACTTTGTTTTTTAATTTTTCTTGTCCTGGGGATTAGCTGCTTAAACAAAAGAAATCCTCTGAGTATTATGACTAACTTGGGAAATTCAGTTGTTACTATTGGCTTACCATTAGATGAAATAAAGCAATTTGGTATGCTAAAATGTTATCTCTGAATGAATATATTGTTTGATGGTCAGTGAAATAATGATGTTAGCCATTGAATGAAGATAAACAGTTTCAGTGTCAAGGTGTAGATACCAGCAGTAACTGCATAAAACATGGACTATGGACAAATTTAGAAAAAAAATTTAACACAGTTTTACTTGAAAACAAAGTCTGTACAATTAATTAGAGACAAAAAGCAGTCTAACATGAGCTATATTACTTTGTGCATGCAAATGTTGCAGACTTTTTGTCAGGCTCCTCTTGTAAAAGTATTGTTCTGTTAAGAATGGCATGTTTTGGTTGATTTTGGGTTTTACATCTTGGTTAATTCTTATCAGCAATTTTCTCTGTATAGAATCTGGGGGGAATAGGCATACATGACTTCAGGTACTCAAGAAGTAGCAAAAGAATAACATCATGCTTGATATCCTCACTCACTCTCTTGAGTGCTTGAATTTTACAGTAAATGAGTGATCCGTGTGATCTTGTGTAAGAAAGCTTTCTTTATTATATGTGATGCTCTGTGGACAAAACAATTCTCTCTTACATCTTTATGTAGTACTCTTAAAATAATATTCTACATTTTATTTCCAACTTATTTAATGTCTTTTTTATAGTGTCCACATGTATCAACTGTAAAAAAAAGAAGACTGTCAGTAGAACTGGTTTACATTTCTCAATTTTTTGAGAAATGCTCTAAGTGGCTAAAGATAAACTGTGAAGAAACAAGGCAAAGGTTAATATCTTGTTCTCAGAAAATCATGAGGAGTTTTTTAATGTTTACTGTTTTTTTAGTTTTTTGGTTTGTGGAGCGTATTTTTATGGTAGATCATTGTCATAATACAAAGGTTTTAGTTTTAATAATTTTCTATGGGTTTTCTTGGGTTTTAAGGAATTTTTAAGGAATTTTTAAGGAATTAAGGTTTAAGAGACAAAGAGCTAGAGATTACTAACCTGTCCAGTGTAGGTTCAGAGAGTGGCATTTTTTTGGCTTTGGTGATGTTTGTGCGTTTCTTCCACTAATTAGACAGCAGGATAACGTACTCTGTGAATGGAAATTGTTTTGACTAAAGAAAAAAGCAAGTGCCAATATATTTTTGAGGATTTTGAATGTGCTTGGGCAGTACTAAGATAAGAATTTAATGTAGTTGAAAAACAATTTTTAGCCTACTGAAAATAATATCCCATATTTATTGCAGTGTTGTGCATGCTTTTCGAGGTTGATTAATTAGTAGTCAAATTATCAGAATTAAAGGTTAAAAGCATGCTAAAGATGCCATGGTGCCTGTTTTTCATCTTGTTTCTTTTATGATGGGTTTGTGAGAATACAGGAAGCTTGTGTCTTACTAGAACTGACTGCAATTTTATCCTAAGTATGATTAAATTGCTTTTCATTTTACCTTCAACGATAACTTCCTGTAATATCTTTTTATGATTACTTAAAGGGATGAAAATACAACTCCTTATCAGAAATAGCAGCCTGACTCACAAATTAGCAGCTTAACAGTTACTGTAGCCTGTTTGTTTCATTACAAAGAAGGAATCTGGAAGATGTGCTGCTTCCAGCTTGGAGTTTGTTAGCTTAGTTTTGTTTATAAAAACAGAAGATTGATGTTTGTTGTGGTTTGGGCCTAACAACAACAAAGAAACAGCCCCTGTGGCTTCTCATTCAGTTTCACCCCCCAACGCACACACACACTCTGTGGGATGGGGAGGACAAAGGCCCATTAGGAGCTTACGGGTCGAGACAAAGGACAAGGAGGGCTCTTCACCAGCTACCGTTCCAGGCAAAACAGACTCAACTTGGGGAAATACAATACTTTAATTTCGCAGTAATCAAACACACACAGGACACAGACAACACCCAGAGCAGGGCTTGCACGTTACCCCCACCGCTCCCTTCTTCCCGGGCCCAAATCCCTTTGTTCCCGGTTTCTCTCCCTCCTTCCCCCCAGCGGCACAGGGGGACAGGGGATGGGGTTTAGAGTCAGTTCACAGGCTGGTGGTTCCTGCTGCTCCTTCCTCCTCAGTCCTTCCCTGCTTCCCCACGGGGTCCCTCCCATGGCAGAGAGTCCTCCGTGAACCTCTCCTTCCTGAGTCCTTCCCACCAGGTCCGGAGCTGCTCCAGCCTGGGCTTCCCACAGAGTCATGGGCTGCTTTGGGAACAGTCACCTCCCGTGGCCCCTGGGTCTTCCAGAGCTACATAATCCAAGTCCACTGGAAGCAAATTCCAAGTTCACCCC